GGGAGGTTGATTTCCTCAGGGGACTGGGGAGGGGAAGGGAGGGCTCCTCTGAGGGGCCTGGGGGGTTGGGGGGATCCCTGAGGGAGAAGGGTCTTCTCAGGGCCTGGCATGGGGGGGAGGAAGGGGAGGGTCTCCCTAGGGCCCGGCCCAGGTACCCTGGCTGCTGCCCTCTGCCCCTGTGGTGAGAGGGTGCGAAATCTGATGGGTTTTTGTTCTGCTGAAATGCAGAACTTGGGGTTCTTTGACAGCCAGGGTTAGGTAACAAATTTCTCAGGTTCCTCTGCCCTTTTTTAAATGTCTTTGAGTAACTTTACCTTTTTGATACAGCTGAACAGCTATGAATTGAGTTGAGCTATGAACGGCTGCAGTCAAATCCCTTTTCTAGTAAATCCTTTCTCCCCTGTTCTAATAAATGAACACAACATACCCAGCCAGTGTGGGACGCAGGGCCAGGACCCATGGTTCATGAGGGACTGCCACTGCCCTGTGTTTAACAAGGCAGGATCGTGCCCTGCTACTCGGTGCCATGCTGCGTAGCATCCTGGGAGAGGGGCCTTCAACTAGAAATGCCCCCGAGATGGGGGTTAGATAGACAGGATACAAATTTATATCCCCCCTTGAGCCAAATAAGGGTTTGGGCTGACTTCTGCTTCCTGGGCAACTTCCTATCCGTAAGATATTATAAAAAGCAGTTGTTGCCCCAGCCTTCGTTCTATATTTTGAGAGTATGGTGCTCACTTTTTCTTAGAGAATAATGGTAGATATCTGTACTGGAGAAGCAGGGTCTGGAGATGTCTCTTGCAGCCCTAAATTAAAGGTGTCCCTTGCTTTCTGTTTCTTGTTTGCCATGCTGAGCCATAGCTCAGCATGCAGGTTTCCTGAATCGCCCTTCGGAGGTGTGTTATTGTGTAGTCTTGTGTGTTTTTTTGTTGTTGTTGTTTTTTTTTTTTTGGCCAGCTACCCAGAAGGGCCCTTATACCCATGCTGAAAGCGGAGTAGCTGAAACTTAAGGGGTCACGGCCTTGTTTTTTCTTATTAGCTTTTGGCCTTTCTGTGAGTTGAAAAATTTACATTTGAGACTGAAGAAAACAAGACGGATGTGTTGCTCGCCTTTCAGATAGCGTGACAGTTTTCTTGGAGTTCTATTTATCCTAATATGGAGTCTCTAACTTTTTTTTTTCCCAGTTCAAATCTGAATATCAATGATGTCCTGGGAAACTACTCACTAACTCTGATTGACGCACTGGATACCCTAGCGGTGAGTTCTCAAAATATCTGTATGTTTTATTCCCATATTTGCGTTGGGAGATAATGGAAGTTGTCCCAAAGAGAAAGCATGAGTTAATGAGAAGGAGGATTATAATGTCATGGAGAAGAGAAGTAAGAGGCTAGGTATCAGTTAGAGGGAAAGCTGAAGTGATATAACAGAATCTCTAAAATCTTGTTCAGCCTTTATGTATTTACCAAATTGGAGCTAATCCTCAAAATCAGTAGTCTTGCAAAGAAGTCTTTCATCTGTTTAGCTGTAGTAACTTCAGTTCTGCATGATAAGGATTCAGAATTTCTATATAGCCCTCTTAAACTAAATTTAATCAGAAGCTTCAGGAAGGAAGTTCAGAAGGGTAGTGCAGGAAGCTGAAAAGAACAAACTGAATTTTGCAAATTAATTTAAAGGAACACTAATGTATTTAGGATGTATTGCCAAAGCATAATTCTTGTGCTAATTAAAATCTAAAGGCCAGTGTCGTAACGGGATATGGTCATGAATGTCCGAAAGGATAAAGTAAGTTAGTCGAGTGAGAGGTTTTAAGAGACATGAGAAACTCCAGATGCCCTTGACAATATGTGGTTCTCTTGTTTGTTCTGTTAGTGCAGTTCTTAATACTGGAGATGAGACTAGGGAAATGGAAGTCAGTCACGGTTGATCTGTCAGTTTATTCCCAGCCCAGGTGTGTGAAACTCAGAATCAAAACTCTATCTGTAGCACAGAGCTTCTTTTAAAAGGCTTATGAAATTGCAGCTCTGAATTGCAGGACATTTGAATCGAAGCAGTAGTATGGATGTGCTGTCTGATCTCAGTAGTAGGCAGGACTTTGGAACAGACTTTGAAGGAAAGAGAAAGAGGGGGAAAAATGGAGATACAGTACAGCATTACCTTGCTGCCCTCCTAAACGTGGGTCTTGCTAAGTTGATCTGTCCTGGTATTGAACAGTTCTGCTAGTGTCTCTTGCTCTGATGTTGAACTTAGACCACAGTAGATCCGGTATCTTGAATTGGCTCCGTATTTAAAAACAAAAAAATTCTACTTATAGAGCTGAAGAAGAAGGGAGACTGTATAGAAACTGTTGGGTTGGTGAGAAACTGGCTTGAGGGGAAATGGCAACAGAAAGTATTGAACTGGAGGGAGTTACTCCATGGTGTTCTGCAAGAACCTGCCTCACAAAAACTAAACAGCCTGTGGCTGCTTAGCCCTTTGTTAAGTTTATTAATACAAAGGGTGCTGATGAAACTTTCTTACGCGTGAGGCAAAGTTGCTGACAGAAATAGAGATCAATTCTTAACGTGAAGAGAAGGCAAGATGACCTTGTGAAGAGTAATTAAAAATTATCATGAAGTTCTGCAATGTGAAATGAAAGGGACTAATATCTTCTAAGGTTAACTCATTCACTCCTGAGGAAAAGAAGGAGCTGGGTATACTTTAGCTAACAGCTGCATGCCAGACTAGCAGTGCGATGCAAATGTGGGGAAGGATAAGAGCATTTGGGGATATATCAGGAGAGATTTCCAGAAGAGATGACGTTGTGGTGATCTGCTACAGCGCTCAGATGGGATCTCCTGTGATTACTCGTTACTCATGTTATTCTGGTCACTGGTGCTCAGGAAGGATGGATGTGAACTGGAATTTGCAGGGAGTGCGGAGATGATAAGAGGAGAGCCCATCTTATTCAAGAAGACTTTAAGGGCTGTAGTTGTTTTGCCTGACTGAGAGGGCTTGAGTGACATGTAAGTCATGACATCAAAAGTGGTGAAAGGAAGGGGGGTAAAAAGCTGTTACAGTTGTAAAGCTGCTTCTCACCTGCTAAAATAGACTCGTACGCGTTTCTGATAAGACTTGACAACAATACGATCCTAACTCAGTTTTATAGTGTATTTATAGAAAGGTGTCATAGAAAAGAACCCCTTTGTTGAACTCCTTAAGCATGTTTAGAAACCTTCTTAGGTTCTGCCAGTCTCACTTTTGCAACCAGGTCAGATTCTTGGCCTTCTGGAGCATGTTCAGTGCCTGTCTATGCACAATGTCTGTAGTCCACTTCTCTTTTAGGGAGGGTGATGTGTAGAAGGATTATACGTCGTCTTCAAATTATAAAATACTTCTCATTGCAGAAATGGAATCGAAACTCTGTGGCGAAAAGCCACAGCTGTTTAACTGAGCATGGCAGTAATGTACAGAACTTAAAGCAGGAAGTGAGAAAACAGTAATTTTAACAGAAACAGCAATTGGGGATCTGAGCTGTTTGGCTGTTTGCGTGTTGGTAAATCCTCCACCATCATCTCCTTGTTCACCAATGGCTCAATGTTGCACCGATACCTTTGGGGGCAGTGCAGTAACTTTTTTCTCGGATATAAAACTTATGGCTACTGCTGTTAGAGGCTCTTCTGTTTGAGAAGCTTCTGCAGGGAGAAAGCCTATTTTGCTCTTCCTCCTCCCAGATCAAATATATGATTGCTTTTCCACTGAGTCGAGGTATTGGGAAGAACAGGTAGGCTCCATGTATGCTCAGCCTTACAATAAACTTATCCAGGCAGGAATCTGTGTTTTCCTTCCACGTTCCCTCTTCCTTGAAACTAAATTTGCTTGTCTCTGGATGTAGTGGTAATCATTCGGTAGGGAAATACCCGTACAAAACTGGTGTGAGGAAACTCCTGAACACGGAATGCAGTGTCGAATTAAAAGCCCAAGAGGTCAGACTCTTCTGGTCAAATAAATGTCAAATCAGACTGTGTAGTTCTTTATCTTTGTTTATTTATTTATTTTTTAGCTGAACTTAACTCTTGAATTTTCTGTATAGCAAAGCAGTTAACAAAACTCTCAATGTATTAGATCTTGAGAGGCTTTAGACTATTGCTCAAAGAGATCGCTCATGATGCTGATTTTGGGAGTGGGGAGTACATTAATGTATAGGTTAGTATAAGGGACAAAAATGTATCTTTGTGAGTTTCCCTTTTTTAATGTACTTCTACATGTCAGTAAAACAGGTAACCTGGAAAAGCTGTTAGCAGAGACTTGAAGTACGCTGTTCTGTATCTAGATAATTCAACTGGTTTAAGATGTGAATTTACGGAACTTATTGCTTCAAAAGGGGGAAGAAAAATTAGACAAAATAATTTTGTTCTTATGTAAAAGGTAATGGGAAATTCCTCAGAATTCCAGAAAGCAGTGAAGTTGGTGATTGACACTGTTTCATTCGACAAAGACTCAACAGTCCAAGTTTTTGAGGCAACAATCAGGTATGTGGCCGTAAGTTTGTGTCTTTAAAACAGCAGCAAGGTTAATTATCTCAACCACCTTTGGCTGGTAGACCTCTAGTTTTTGTTGTTACTCTTGCAATTGAGGCTCAGATCTGTGCATAACAAACAACCCTGCTGGCGAGTTTTCCCTGTTTTGATTATTTTCCATGAACCTTCTACCTACTCTCACTTTTTAAATTTTTGTGGGGAAAATCATAGATGGAAAAACAAAAGGCCTGTCTGCCTTGGAGAAGGGAAGGATCTCCTCAGGGCACCAGGAGGTACTCTGATTTTAAATGGTATTATTTTCTGAATCGCTGTTTTAAAACAGTTCAGTGAACTGCTGCTTAGCTCTAGTACTTGTAGGTTTTCTTTTTGGGGAACATTAGGTGTACGTAACAACTCTATTGCCGTTTGCAGCAGCAAAAAAGGCGGGGAAAGGCAGTCTTCACTCATAAATATGCTTGGTATGTTGTAAGAAACTCCTGGGTCAGACTAAATCCTGCAGAACAGGATCTAGGGATTACTGTGCATGACAGATGAACGTGACATCTAGACCTTTTCATTACTAGTGGAGAAGACAGCAAATCTGTTTCCGTGATGAATAAATAAAATTTAGCTTGTAAGTCACATGCAGTAATGCTTTTATTAAAGATGGTATTGGTAAAGGTTTAGCTGAAGAACTAGGTTCGGATCGTTTTTAAAAATTGAGGATCTCTCCCTTTTCCAATAGGGTTTTGGGAAGCCTGCTTTCTGCCCACATAATAATTACAGACACCAGACAGCCTTTTGGTGATATGACCATTAAGGATTATGATAATGAACTGTTGCATATGGCTCATGACCTAGCAGTGAGACTACTTCCAGCCTTTGAGAACACCAAAACTGGAATCCCGTATCCTCGGGTAAGCGAGCACCATATACATCAATGTAGTGAGGACAGAATCTAAAACTAGTTGTTTGACTGCCTTACAATTCTAGTTCTCTGCTCTGTATGTGTATTTATATGTGGACTTCAGGGCCGGGAACCTGCACTACCTTAGACTGAAGTGGGGTAGGGGAAACGGCACCGAGTTATGTTGAAATGGACAATACATCAGTTGCTTACTGCATCTAGTGAATCTTTTCTTTAGGCCGCTCTTTCTCTTTATATAACTTAGCTTTGTGTCATTAGTGGTCATCTATTTTCAGGCTAGTACCTGTCCTTCTCTTCCCCCTCCTCTCCGCTTGCTTTTTATGGCAAATGGTAGAAAACAATGCTGTCATTAAGAAGGTTAACGAGAAACGTCATAAAGGCGAATAATGTTTAGAAAGATATTTATTGTTTAGAAATTAGACTAAAATGTTTGTCATACTGCATCAGCTTGGGATTTGTCATTTCCTTGAATAGTGTGTTGCATCCTCTGGCTTCAAACAGATGCTATCAATATGAAGAAGGACTTAAGTTCTAGTGGAAGAACTCTCAGATGTAGAACTACTTAGCGCTTGCCTGACTACTTTTACTTTCTGGGGACAGTTGCACTGTTTTTTTTGTTTTTTTTTTTTCCTCCACGTCTGTCAGGCTGTAGAAACACAAACTTTCCCTTTTGATCAGAGTGTGGTAAAGCAGTTGAAGGTGGTATGACTTCTCTTCATTGGAAAGTCTTGAATTCAAGAGAACTAAACTAGCAGAAGAAGTACTCGCGTTGCCCCTGGAAGAAACTGAACGTTTAGTAGAAACGAGGAAAAAGCGTATTGAAATTTGGAAGGGTTAACAAGTATAGTATAAAGGTAGCAAAATTAGGGTTTCCCACCTTTGGCATGGTGATATAAATTTAAAAGATGAATTTCAATAACTCTTTCAGGAAAGCTTTTTGACTCAGCAGCAATACGCTAGCTTTCTAACCGTGTATAGTTTTTGCGCTGCATAGCATGCTATCTCATAAAAAGGCTTTATAATAAAGGTAAGACTGCAGACTAGAACACAGCTGTATGAGATGATTGATAAACAGCTTGTATTCTTGTGATTTACACTCACTTTACCTGCTTCGTAGGTTAATCTGAAGAAGGGGGTACCTCCAAACAGCAATAACGAAACTTGTACTGCAGGAGCCGGCTCCTTATTAGTGGAATTTGGTATTCTCAGCAGACTGCTTGGTGATTCCACGTTTGAATGGGTGGCCAGGCGAGCTGTCAAAGCACTCTGGAATCTCAGGAGCAATCACACTGGACTGCTAGGTAATTTCTATATGCTCAAGATCTCTCTAGCAAGGTCTTTGGTCTCAGGTGATGCTGTATTGCCTGGCTCAGTGTTCTAAGTTAGTTCAGTCTCGTGTAGTGGCATGCTGTCATTGTGCAGGTTTCTTTCACGTGTCAAAAACTTCATTGATCTGCTTCCTCTCTAACCGTTAAGTAGTACTCTCCTTCGGTATTTGTGCCTTCTGTTGACCAAGTGGCGTTTTGTAATTTTGTAAGGAAAATGGAATATCTTAATAGCTACTTGGGGCACAGGTTTTCAAAGACAAATTTCTCATGAAACTGGAACATGAGTTTGGAGTTGTTCCACGTATATTCCCATTAATATAGCTTAGATAATGAATAAATATACTTAAAACAACTACATGTGTGTACTAGTTCCTTGGTAAGTGCTCTGTAACACTATATTTTAATAGTAGTCTTTGTTTTTCCCTCCTTAAGACTTCTTGAAGATGTAGTATTTTTAAGTTCTAGTTCTTGATTTGTTTTTTCTGATATATTTGGCAATGTTAGACTAAACTCTTGTCTGTGTCTTCTCTGAAAGGAAACGTTGTGAATATTCAAACTGGCCATTGGGTTGGAAAGCAGAGTGGCTTGGGTGCAGGGTCAGATTCATTCTATGAATACCTTCTGAAGTCTTACATCCTCTTTGGAGAAAGGGAAGACTTGGAGATGTTTAACGATGCTTATCGCAGCATTCAGAACCACTTAAGAAGAGGGTATGTTATTTATATGAGTATCAGTTTCTTAAATATGTAGATACTCCACCAAGATATGACAGATTTATATGGCATTTGTATCATCCTGTAGAAAATCTGTGATCTTTTTTCTTTATTTAAAAAAAAAAAATGGTAGTCACTGCGGAAAGAGAATTTTAACGTTCCCTTCACTCCTCACCGAATTGGTCGGTGTACCGTTATCGGTGCAAGGAAGCTTTAACTGATTACCCTCTGAAGTAGTAAATGACAGAAGGCCGCAGGCACGTAAAGAAAATGTATTGAGTTAGTCACTGCAGTACTTCTTAAGGCCTGATCTTATCTAGAGTGACCTCCTGGTAGGACGTCTGCTGATGCAACCTAAGGATATGATGTACCTGCCTTTAAGAATGAATTTTTCCGAGAGCTGGGTTGACTTTCTGCTCAAAATGGCTCTCGGTGTAGCACTGATAAAACTGCAGCTGTTCCTCTTTGCTGATGGCGGTGTTGTGAAATGGAATGTGCAGTTTGTTCTTCTAAAATAGTGAATGTTTACATATGACTATTGTTACTTGGCAGTCGAGAAGCTTGTAACGAAGGTGAAGGTGACCCTCCTTTGTATGTTAATGTAAACATGTTCACGGGACAGCTGATGAACACGTGGATCGACTCTCTGCAAGCTTTTTTTCCTGGACTGCAGGTAAAATAAACTTTCATTCTTCTAAAGACTGAGTGACGCAACAGAGGGGTGTTGGAGAGGTTTATTCTCATTCTAGGCCTGTGAATGAATCTGAGCATTTATTCTGAGATGAGCTTTAACCCACTGGTTTACATGCTGGTGTTCTGACAAGATTTGTGGGGCAGTTCAGCTTCTGCATCAGCATGACAGTGTTGGGAGGCTTGGCCTGCTGCCTGCTAGATTTGAGACACGTCTTAAATTTCATACTTTATCTCAGTGTTCTGCATGTATGACGCTGTGAGGCATAAGCTCCACTGATGCTTTTGGTGTAAAGGGTTTATATACTATCTTTGATTTTACTGGTCTTTCCTTATGAGGAGAGCACTTTATTGTAAAGCATGTTGTCATACGCAGCAGAAAGCAATTTGCTGGGCTGGAGTGTTAAACATGCATGTTTATGGCTGTCATTGTGCCTAGGTATTGATAGGAGATGTGGAAGATGCTATTTGTCTCCATGCTTTTTATTATGCCATATGGAAACGATATGGAGCTCTCCCAGAAAGATACAACTGGCAATTGCAAGCACCAGATGTTCCCTTTTATCCACTGAGACCAGAGTTAGTGGAATCCACATATCTTCTTTATCAGGTACTTGAGTTATCTGCACTAACAGCTCAAACGTTTTGGCAAAAATATTTCTGTTTGGAAAGTTGCTTTTTCCAGCCCTAAGCCCTGCCATACACTTGGTTGCTAATGGACTGCTCAAACTTAGTAGCTCTATATCTGAATGCTCTTGTACAGAGGTCTCTGTCTAGGGAGTGGATTGTTTATGTAATGCAGTTGGTACATTGTTTACTTTAAAAGTAGGCTTATAAGGCATGCAAAAATGATACTAAATGACCTTTTGAAAAAATACCTGACAGATTTTTACAAAGCAGAGAGAGCTCTGATTTCTTCATGAGTATTGTTGAAGTTGAAGTGTGTGTAAAAGCTTTCCTTGCAATATTGTGCAGGCACAGTCTATGACTGGCAGCAGGTACAGTAAATTAAAATAGCTTCCTTGCAGCCAGAAAAAGTTATCAAAGAGCTTGAATTTACTACAGGTTTTGTTAGGCCCTTGCACTAGAGCAAATGTCAGAAGGTTGCACAGAGTAATCTAAGGCATGTTTCTATGAAGATAAGTTTTCTGTAGAGCACAGGAATATGAGACACTAGTAGGTCTTTGTTGTAAAAGTGTTATTTCTACAAGATTTCAAGATTGCTGACTCTACCTTTTCTCCTTCACTATCCAGGCCACAAAGAACCCGTTTTACCTTCACGTAGGAATGGATATCCTACAGAGCTTGGAAAAATACACAAAAGCTAAGTCAGTCTTCAGTGTTCTTTCTCTTCTCTCACTGCTATATGCGTATATTTGATTATATAAATACGTATATTTTATTATATAAATATAATTATATTTGCAAAATATAGGTAAACAAACAACCCCCCCACCTCAAAAGCCAAAACAAGAATGGACTTATTTTCTAAACAGCTATTTCTTTCTCATTTGAAAATAAAATTATATTCCAGTGGCTAATTTATATCTTCAGGATTTTACAACTCTACCTTCTAAAGGTAGATCTCTTGCCCAAAGTTGGCAAAATTACCTTTTTTTTCCTGTGCCTCGTGCAAGAATAATTTTAACCTCTTGGACCCATGGTGTTTAACTGGACTTGAGGGATGGTCTCTGAGATAGACTTTGCACATTGACTTTCTTTTCAAGACAGCAACTGTGAATCATAACTTTAACACTGAGTATCTGAACTTCTTGCAAGACTCTGAGGGAGGACAATGGATTTTTATTCAACTGTTGATATTTACTACTTTCACAGTCAAGTCTCTATGAACCATATGACAGTATAAAGCAGTGCCATTCTGCAGTTAAGTGGGATTCACACCGCTCTGTAGGCGGTGGTCTGCACTGTGTGACAACTTTTAGTTTCATTGTTTGGGGGGAGGAAGAGTAAATAGCTAGAAAGGAAACCTTTGCAGGCAGACCAGCATTTCAAACCTGGATTGCTTATGCGCTCGCTATGGGGAAGTTACCTGTTTCATTCAGGGTGACCCGACAATTTTTCTTCTCTTGAAAGACGTTTTTAGTAAATCAGCGTGATAGAGTAGATAAGCCACTGTCCTTTTGTCTGTGCAGTGTCAATGATTAGTCTCATCAGGATACTGAAAATCAATGATCAATGCTTCCTTGTTTAGGAAAAAAAATTAAATAAAAAAAAAAGTTTTATTTCAGCCTCATCCCTAGTGACAGATCAAATGGTCTGAATTTAGGGAATGTTTAGGGATCAAAATGTATGGGTACTAAATTCAAATTCATCTTAAATCTTTCAGATGTGGCTATGCTACATTACATCACGTTGTAGAGAAGACAAAAGAAGATCGAATGGAGAGTTTTTTTCTCAGTGAAACATGTAAATATTTGTACCTGGTATGTATATGTAAAGGCATTCTCTTGTGAGCACTGTATGCAAGCACAACATAGGGAGCAGGCAGGAAACTACTAGTAACCCTCCTGAGCTCTGGGCTAGAGAGACGTATAGGTATTGGAGCTTATCGGAGAGTGCACTCTGCCTCTTTCTTTGACACCCCCTCTCCCAGCCTTGGAGGTGCATGCAGGAACCTGGGCTGGAGAGCCCACAGCTGCCACTGGGAAGGAGCTGGGAGGAGGGAGCAAGGCGGAAGGCAGCAGCTACTCAGCTCCGAACTAAATTGTTGCTTGTAGCCATTTTGTCCGCTTAGCAGCAGCCTTTGATTTCTCCCCATCAGGCTTTGGCTGTCACAGGAGGAAGGATTTGAGCCAACACTGCTGAAACTACTGTTCTCAATCTCCTTGAGGTTTTTTTTTAAAAACAAAAACAAAAAAAACCCCAACAACAACAACTTGTACCAAGTGGAAGCAGTGAATGCCAGCCTAGAAATGCCTGCATACTGCAGCTTAGAAAACTTAGGGCAGTTTGAGTTGTGTGAGAAATATTTCTCTTGCTCTCCACTTTTAACTGCCAAAATAAATCGCTTGCGTTAAAACTGCTTATTTCCATTTGCTCAAACAGTAGCTACCCATTTAGTGCTAAAAAGTATGCTTTTAATGTAATCCTTCAAATGCATAAGCATGTGCTTTTTTAACTTTTTGCTGATGGAATATGGAAATGTTGTATGTATACTTGAGAGATGTCTCTCCTGTTTCCCTTGTTTAGTTGTTTGATGAAGAGAATCCAGTGCACAAATCTGGAAATAAATATATGTTTACTACTGAGGGACATATTGTGTCTGTGGACAAACGTTTTCGTGACTCGCTGTGGCAAGATACCCTCCCTGGAGAAGAGGACAGCACAGAAAAAATCAAATCAAATGAACTGAAGGCAGTCAACTTCAGTTCCAATGTAAGGAATATACAGACTTTTCCTGGTTGCGTTAGTGGAGAAGGAATAGATGTCGAACTGGACTAGGCAGTGGATAAAGAAGGATTTGAAAGTGGTACTTGAGGGCTCTGCCTTGTTTCCTTTCTAAACGTTACGTGTCTGAAAAGCTCCCCTGTGAAAAATGCTTTCAGTAGTTGGAATTAATAGATTAGGATAATGTGTGAGTGATTGAGTTGAAGGTGTAATCTGTCCTCTTGTAAGTATTTTGGAGCAGTTAATTTCTTCTTTGTTAGGTTATCTCCAAGCGCTTTTCCCTTCTCCTTTTCTTCGCGCTTAAAGTCTTCCAGTGTTGCTGTGATGGGGAAGGAGAAGAGCAAAGTGATTGAAACAAGGCTTTTCTCCTAACCTCAACCCAAATGATTCTGAGGCATATAAAGGTGACCTGTTTTAGCTAGGAATCAATTGAGTATAGAGCTCTAGGTACAAATTTCTGCTAGTAACTTCTAGCAGAGTTCGTTCCCTTCCCCCCCTCCCCCCTGTCCTGCAGAAAAGTACATTATTTTAAAAAACACTGTTGTCACAGTGAAGGAAGTCTCAATGACATGCTGCAGTAGTCTAGCTTGTATTTGGACGCTTGTAGCATGCACACAGGAAGCATTTGCTGTTCATTTATGTTGTCTGTGTGCTGGATGTAAGTATTGCAAAGGGTGAGGGAGGGTCAGGACTTAAAGTGCCATAGGGTATGATTTTCTTTACTGGGAGGAAAATCTACAGTCACTGGTGCTGAATAGCTTAAAGAGAGTATGGGATTGACTGTTGGCAGATTCAAGTTCTTAAAATATTATTTTATTAACAGTGTAACAGAGTTCCAGATGAGAGGAGATACCTGCTGCCATTGAAGAGTAACTACATGAGACAGATCGATCGAATGGTGGGCTTGATCTGAATAGTTCTTCAGCGTAATCTGTATCATATGCCGGAGGAGCACGGATTTGGCTCCAGACCTTCCTCTCCTCTGCAGCTACACACCTGCCTATGCTGAGTCACTTGAGTATCGCCCATGCTTACTAGTTTTCAGTTGTGGACTTGAAGGGAGATCTTGTTCTCTTAGAGGTCTCTCTTCTGAACTATGGTAACTCCACATGCCACCTAAATAGAGTTTTCTTGTTATAGACTTGCTATGAAAAATGTTACTGCAAATGAAGGCTGGATATACTTTTCAAAAAAAGAAAATTGGCACGTGCCATTTAGCTACCTCTTTGTAGCTGCATTGCAGATGTCCCTTTAGAAAAGGGTCTGATATTTAATTTGAAATGATCTTGGGATTGGGGAAGGAATGGGAAAGTGCAATTTCTAACACCAAGTTTAATCATTGAGTTATTTTGACTAGCAATACACAATCTTAAGTATGACTCAGGTAGGAACCCACTGGTAGTGGGTTTTGGCTGAAACAAAAATGCTTTGTCTAAAATAGCATCTTGAAAAGATAACTCCTGGTCATGTAAGGAGTTATCAGTCCAGTCATGAGATCCCTTGTACACACGGTTGTATAAAACTGCGCAGTCACAAGAGCTTGTAGCTACAGAAACCAGTCATAAAACAAATCAGGTGCCTTTTTTGTAAGGGGACGGGGTGGGGGGGAAGGGGAATGTACAAAGCCATTCAGCTCTTTAAGAAGCTAACTTGCTATAGCTTAGCTGAGCAGGTATTCCAAAAATTACTTTGATTGTCATGTATCTAGTGCCTCATCAGGAGAGATGCTCCTGAAGTAAAGAACTATCTGACAATATATGAAGAGCAAGCTGTTTCACATTCCTGGTAGCATTAATAAGTTAGTGCCTTAAATTTATCTTCAATAGCAGGAAAACCTGAGCTTTCTTGAGGGAAGGGATGAATTATTTTTGATCAATTGGTTGCAAAATTCAGTGGGTCTGGAAGTAACTCACATGTGAGACTTTTATTTCTTTTTTAATACTGGAAGAATACTGACTACTGTGCCCATCCCAAACAATACTTCAGGGCTGGATTTATTCTCCAAGTCAGTGTAATTGAAGTGGCTGCCTCTGCATCCTTCTGGGGCAAGAATTAATAAGAGGTCTGAAGTTGCAGTATGCTAGCTTCCTTCTGTTGCAAGATGCAGTTTTCTATATGCCATTGTAACGGGGTCATGCCTGCAGTTGCTAGTAACGCTGACTGTAGTGCTATACTGCGCTTGTAAGCTGTGTCTCTTGGTTCCAATGAAGAATGGTGAAAAATTACTGTTTCTCTAACCCACCATCTCAAAGTGCAGCCTTGATACAGCTGAAGAATAATTGTATGTGAACCTTCAGGAAGAGAGCAGTCGAATTCAGGCTGGGTTATCGTGAGGGATGAAAACAAACTGAGGCAAACCAAGTTATTCTAAGGATAACTTTTTTTTCTTTCTTTTCTTTTCTTTTTTTTTTTTTTCTCCCTTCCAGTTGGGTCCCTGTTGCTTACATGGTTATTTTATTATTTTTATTGTTGACTACATTTGAAGTAGCTGAACACTATTGTTGTGTTCATTATTTTTAATTGAAGACTCAAATTATAGGGGCAAACTTGATCTGCTGTATTGTCACCTTCTTATGGTAAAATTCATAAGCCATATGTTGCAACTCAGTCCACTTCTAATAAATATGAAGTTAGTGTTGAATCTTTTAGTATACAGATGCATCTCAGGGACCTCACTGTAGAATCTTCTGTTCCATTGTAGATGGATATTGTATTCAGGCAAAAAAAAAAATCCTGTCTTCCTAGTCTTAATGTGTATTTGTTAGGGGTTTGGGTGGGGGGTGGGCGGGCAGTGAGGGGAGGTAAGATTTTAAGATTTCTCAAAACATTGTGATAGGATCAGTTGCCTTGATAGCTGAGGGCCTTGACAGTTGAGGGCGCATCCCCTTTGGAAATGGTTTTGCAACGCTATTACTAGACTGTTACAATGATTCAGTTGCCTGTTTTGAAGCAAAATATAAATTCAGGGTGTTATGATCCAAAGAGGTATTGGGAGGGATGCAAGGTTTAATTCCTTAACTGGTAAACTTCAACTGGGCGTGCCAGTGCACTTCAGCTTGCAAATACGTAAAGTCACAGAAGCGCAGAAGAATGCATGAGGGAGTGAGTGCACCTGCCTACCAAGGGAGGCAGGAGGCAAAACTGCCTGGGCATTTTGAAATGCTGCTACTGGGCCAGATCTCTTGCTAGGCATAACTTTGCAGTGAGAAGTGCTTAGTAATGTGAAAGCAAAACACACAGCATTCGAGAACTTCCTGTTTAAAATCACAGCGTAGTGGATGCCAGCACAAACATTGCCCTAGGTGTGCTTGCGGCTGTGTCTGATCATGGTTTTTCCCCTCTTGCAGTTTGGCTCCCTCTGAATGCGCGTTATATATCCTGCAATTGCCTTTCAGTGTTTTGTGCCTTGCAAAAACCCTGAGCCCTGGTTAAGGGTTCCAGTTAAGTGTTATGCACAGAAATCTGTTTCAGAATTTTCCTCAGAGAATTGCACAAACACTATGAAGTTGAAGCTGTTTTTAGCTTGTTTTTCGCTTCTTCTATTGCCAGACCTAGAATGAAAGATACCTCTAGAATAGGAACAATATAGACACATATTACAGCCTTTCAGCCCTTGGTGGCTTGTGCCATTAGTTACAGTGCCAAACAGTATATGGTCAGCTTCTCGTTAGAAACAGCATTGAAATTTGTGTTGCTCAGGTGATCTGACAGCCATCTTTCCGCAGGAATGATTTTTGTCTGCTAGGACACTGGTACTGACTAAGCAGTGGAAGCCTTTGTATTCTTTAAGGAGCCAACCTCTCTTTCTCTTTGTTTTAAAATACTTTGATACGTTTTACTCTGTAAACACAGGGCACATGTTATGCAATAAAATGGAAACCTTAAAATCAATGATATCAAAGTGAAGTTGAAAACATTGCTGGAATAACTTCCTGAAACACTTTTGTATTTCTTAGTATAATGTGCAATATCACTTTCCTAACTAAAAATGCAATGTATTCTTAATTGCTGTTTTTAAACAAAGTATTTGATTGGGGATTGGAAACTTGGAAAAGGACCAAATGCTCTTTCATGAAATGTCCTAAATTTTCAAAATTGAGAGCTTAAATTTTACAAATTTACATTAAAAATAGTATATTTGACCACTGGTATCTGTGTTTTTACTTACAGTTGTGTAAGGGCATCATGAGGCTTGCGGGCGACTTCTTTCCAAACATATGGAAAAGAGAAATTTGAGTATATATAATTTATCTTTGCCATTCATCAGACAGGCAAAAATTTCAGCAGTTGAGGGTGAACTGGAGCCAGAGGTGGGTAAAGCAAAATGTAGCTGAAGTCGTCTTTTAAGCAGATTTGCAGCTCTTAAAGTTTTTTGTGATTTGGCCGGTCTGTAGTGCTCAAAACCTTTCACTTCAGTAAAAAAACAAAAGCCTCAACTCGGTTCTCTAGCTCTGTACTAGGTGTCAGTGCCAGTCTTATGTGTGAAGAGTGCAAGTGTGCTCCAAAAGCAAGCTGGGTGGTGTGTGTGTGGGTGTGTGTGTGTTTGTTTGTTTTAAATTAGCTGACCTTGGTCACGATCTGGTATGACTGCTAAAAGCATTGCTATGTATTGGAGCAAACACTGCTTTACTTTCCGTACTTAGAAACTGGGCATACTGCTGTATATTTTGGGGAGGGAGGAAAAGAATACCTAAAACTGAACTTAGTAATCTTTTTGTCCCCAAGGACAACTTGGCTCAGTCTTTACCTCAGACCTGTTTAGCTCAGGAACACATACTCAAGGTATGACAGAAATACCTTTTTTCCCCTTTTGGGAAATGAAATGAACTTTTCAACCACATCCTTGCGGTAGCACACTAAATAAGTTAATAGTTTGAAGACGGGATTGCTGTCTGGTGAAGGATTTCTTATGAACTTCATCTGCCTTGGTTACTAGACACAAGTTGCTACCTTCTGTATTCTGGCTTTTCAGCGAGCTGAGGATAAGGGATGGCTCCTTACTGCATTAAAAATTCAAAAAACCCTCCAACACAAACAAATGTCTGCCATGCCTCCCCTCTCCCCCCCCCCCCCCCCTGGAGAAGCCAGTTTCTGGTCAGCAGCTGTGCAATTGGAGAATACGGCTGGCTGATTAGGGAGCAATTAGTTGGGTTAGTACAGGAGGAAAAAAAATTATTTAATATAAGGGTATAGTGACAGGCTCTTGTCTTTTGGATGAAGAGACTCTGCTCTGGAGTCCATCGAGCTTTCCTAAGTGTGCTGCAATCCTCTGTGGCCTTTTATCTTTTTGAGAATAACAGGGCTGGTGATAGCGGTAGGCTTGTGACCCCCGCAGGCTGTACTTCCTTTGTAGTATTCTTAAGCACAGGGGAAGGTAGTGCCTTCAAAAGCTTCAAGAGTTGTCCTTGAGCTGAATTCAGTCTTCCTCAACAGTAACAGCTGGAGTACATTTACAATGTTTGCTGGTGTGTAGTATCAGAAGACTCTCCGTGTCAGCAGCTGCTGCTGTGGAGCTAGCCAGAGGCGCTGGCTCTAGCACCCAGAAAGGGCAACAGCAGCATTTCCTACAGCTCGTGTTTGCACAGATGCTTGGCAGGTCTGCGGGTCCCCAGCAGGCCTGGCTTCCCCTGGCCTGAGTGCCAGCTCTGGGCCGGTCCTCGCGTCTAGGCAATGGTCCTACTGACGCCTGGAAGTGAACTTCTCTCTCCTTCGTTTTCACTGTGTGGTGATTTGAGGGGCAGCCAGAGCCGAGAGCAGTGATTCGATGTCTAACGAAGAAACAAAGCGTGGTGGCACCAAGCTGTCGGCCTCGTGAGCAGATAACCAGGCGTATTTGAGTAAGTACTGACCTACTTGCTTTGCTGTGGGCTGGTTTCTCCTAATACCGCTTTCTCCAAATAAGTCCGTGAAGAACCTAGTGCAGGTAGGGAATTCTGCACTGAGAACATGGCTGAGCTCTTTCCAGACTTTGGATGAATGTGTACTGAGAAAAAGGTCATGGCATAGTAAAAAGCATAGAGCAATATGAAAACAAGGGATGTGGACCTCATTTTGATTTTTTTTTTCCCCCGGGATTTGTTTTCTCTTTAATTGATGTTGCCTCACTTCTGCTATTTTCTGTTTTGTAGTCCTGATTGAAAGGATACTGAAGCTGATAGGATGCTTTTTGGCTCTGAATAAAACTCCAAGTTACAAGACAGTATTTGTTGAACCGTAGTGGTTGGATTTTTGTAGTATTTCTTAAAGTCCCTCTGGATTTCCTGGTGAAGAGATCTTTGCTCATCTAATACTGCTTTTGCTGGGTTCAGACTTCTGAATTTCAGTTCTGAAGTAGCCTGAAGTGGCCTGAAATCCTGACTTTGAAGAAAGAGTCAGAACTCTAATGGCCTTCTGTGTAGTTGCCCATTTACTACTGGTGCCACTGCCCTGAGCAACTGTTTGCTCTTTCCTCACCACTGCATTCCTTATCTTGTCTTTAATCTGCTTTGTGGAAGTTGATTGGTCAAATCGCTACAGCTCCAAGTGTTTTGATTGTGTTTTCTCTTAGTAATTCCATATTTAAGAAAACTTTTAAGAAAAAACACTGTTCCCGTTCTTTGTTTTCCAGCAGATTTGAGCATGCTACGATCATATGTGGCAAAAGAGCTAAAGCTTGAAAGTATGAGTGAGAACTTCAGATGTTCTGAGGATAAAATGCATCAAGCTAACCTAGTGATCCAACTAAAAAAATGTTACTACTGGTAGCCTTAGATAACGGTCTTTGGGAGGCTTGGATGCTAGTGCTGTTAATATTAATGCTGTAGCTCTGATATACTGCCACAAGAGACCACCCTTGCGCCACTGTTTGAGAATGTCTGTGCCTGTTACATAGCAGTAAACCAAGAATAATACTACTTTTTAAGTAGAAAATGAAAAATGTTTTAAAATGGAGTTTCCTAGCTTTTTTGACCACTGCTTCTCCTTCAGTGGGAACTGCAAAGTGTTGAGGAAGATGAGTGAGGAAAGCAGGAACGCATCCTGCTATCAGTAGTCTTTTCCAGCTGCTCAGCTCACCAGAGACTGTCCCCCCTGCAGGTACAGCAAAAATTGCTCCTTCCAGTTTGCAGAGACGTTTATCTTTGTCTTTGCTTGAAACTTCCTTTAGAGAGAAATGTTGATTCCTTGATCACGCTTGTATTGTTTATCCACCTCAAACAGGTCAGAAAGTATTCACCAAAACCCACTTTCTACTGTTTTCGCTGTATTTGTCCACCACTTAACTTATCTAGATCAGGAAGACGTTTGATTGTAAAGACTAGATTGAAAAGCATCTTTTTTTTTCTTTTCTTTTCTTTTTTTCTTTTTTTTTTTTTTTAAGACGATGGAATTTGTTGCCTTAAATTTTGCCTAGCTGTAGTTAAAGAAGATGGTAGCTTGGAAGAGCTATTACAGCTTCCTTACAGAACGGTTTAGGTTGGAAGGGACCTCTGGAGATCATCTAGTCCAACCCCCCTGCTCAAGCAGGGTCCTCTAGAGCATATTTCCCCGGATCGCATCCAGACAGGTTTTGAATATCTCCAGCGAAGGAGACCCTACAACCTCTCTGGGCAACCTGTTCCAGGGCTCAGTCACCCTCGCAGGGAAGAAGTTTTTCCTCGTGTTCAGATGGAACTGCCTGTGTTTCAGTTTGTGCCCGTTGCCTCTTGTCCTGTCACTTGGCACCACGGAGATGAGTCCGGCCCCATCCTCTTGACACCCCCCCCTCCAGAGACTTATACACATTGATGAGATCGCTTCTCAGTCTTCTCTTCTCCATTAGTACAACTAGACAGTCCAGTACCTAGAACCGGTTGGTCCCCCTTGCCTAGAGGAGACAGGAGATTTGATTCTAAAAATGGTAGCTTTATGAAGTTCCATAAAATCAATTTTTATTTAGATAGCGCTAATAAGAGGGAAGGCAAATCCCTTGTTTTTGTGGCTCACCATATCGTGCCTTGTGGTATAAGGAACATGACTGTCAAAATGGGGCTCGTTGAGGAGAGAACTCCTGTATCCAGGAAGAGTCTGGCTGACTTGTGTAGGACACTTCATGTTCTGATCAGCGAAGTGATTTATGGGGAAGGGATATAAGCTTCCTTAACTCCATCGCTTTGAATTGGGTGCATTGGTGAAAGGGAATGAAAGCACTGTAAAAATGATTCTGGTATATTTTGGCTACTTCTGAAGCGTGAGAAGGGATGTGGCTATTAGTGGCAATGAATATTTTGAGCTAATTGACTTTGTGAGCATTAGTATCTCTGCTTATTTCGATCATAACTGCAGTCCGTTGTGAAGTCCCAGCAGCCAGCCTCACAGATCTCAGACGGGTTTAGAAAGGAGCAATTGCTTGTGCCTGTCCCAGCTGTCGTGCCCTCGGCCTCTTGGGGACAGGATGAGGGCTGAGGGGTGCTTGACTTCTGTTGCGTTCACAACTAGACAGTGATACTCTCAGGATGAGCGGTTGCAGAGCTCCCTTTGCTTTTTTGCTAAATTTTACTGATTATGCAATTCCTAGAGGTGTCCTTGCCACCCGCAAAAATGCCCGTTTTCCACTGGCGGATTCACGAT